CAGCCTCCAACACTTCCTTTGAATCAATAGAACTAATAGACAAAAAAGGACTAGCCAACTTAGGCCTACACTTCCAACTTTCAGCAAACACTCTTCTAAAGTAATTCTCCACAACTTGTTTCACCATACTTGGGTCTTCCACCACAACACCATTTGCCTTAATGAATTCTTCCTTTGCCTGTTACTTGCCATCAAGTGAAATAGTTTAGTAATTTTATCACCATTTTGTGCCCATGACATTCTAGACTTTTGTAACCACATCCTCTCCTTTCTTCTACTGAGATGCCAAATTTGACTTCTGACCTCTCTTTGTCTATTCACTTCTGATTCCAACAAGGATCTAGATTCCGCCTTCAAGTCCCACTCATGGAGTTCATCTTCAGCTTTTTTAAGTTGATCATCAACATTACCAAATACCTCCAAATTCCACCTTCTTAGCTATGCTCTCAATCTTCTCAACTCATGACATAATTTATATACTAACGTTACTTATATATAAGGATATTTTAGTCTATTTTATTTAAGTCTTAACGACCCTAATGATGTGCTTCAATCTATAAATTATAAAGATTATGTAGTCATTTTCAAATATTAAGAGGTTAAATCACACATAACTCAAATTATAGGAGTAAAATGAAGCTTCTCAGAAGTAAAAAAATTACATTTTACAAAAAATAGAGATAATCAAAAGATTTTTTAACAGAATTTCACACCACTGGTCATCGTTTAGATATGCGTTTATTATAGAATTATTCCAAAAAAATGCCCTTTCTATGAAATCATTCATGGCAACCACTATATGTCATCCTTTATCTAATCATTCTGCTCTCTCTTTTTCAAAATTGCAGTGATCTCGCAGAAAAGTTATTTGGTTGTTCTGAGACATTGTCCAATGATGCTTTATGTGGTGGGTGAAAGGATAACATTCATGTGGTGGGTGAAAGGATAGCATTCATAATTTTATAGTGAGCGATTCAGAATTATGACAAGACATAATGATTTAAAATTAACAACAATGATTCATCCTATTAAAAACACCACCACTAATAGCACTAATGTATTAAAAAATTAAAAAAAAAAAAAAAAAAAAATACAACTCCAAGACCAAAACATCACATCACTACTGGCGGGACCCACTGCCACCTAATTAGTGGGAGCACTAATTAGTGCTCCCAAGCATTTTTCAAAAAGTATTCCACTTTGTTACTCTATTATGCTACCTACCATTTCCGGTATGTAGCCTCATCGCACTGTCACACACGTTGGGTTGTGTTCTTATCCTTATTTTGTGGGCTATTAATGAGTCACGTGCTTGCCCACATGTAGCTAATGTTGTCAGCTTATTATGAACGTTTTGTTCGGTAACACGTAAAGCCTTCATTCGGCAGGTCAAAGTTTTTAATTTTTTTTTTTTGGTTATTTTAATTATAAAAAGATAAAATAAATTAAAAAAATTAATAAGATAAAACGTCATATTCAAATTATAATTATTTTATTTTTTTTTTTATAAAAGTTAAAAAAGTCAAAAAATCTATCCCAAATGAAGATTTTTAGTTTTAGGCTAAAATAGTCATGTAGCCAAAAGGCCAACTTACATCCCAAACGAATTCAAATATTAGAAGACTTCTGTATAGAAGGGAGATTTATATGCAGGTCTTAATAAATTAATTTATTATTTAATAAGTCTTATAATAATTAATGATATTTTTTATTAAACATTATTTAAAAGAATAATGTTATACGCACCAATTAATGTACCAATTGATGATGTGACATAATTTAAAAGGTTTTTGGGATTTGTAATGTGATTAATGAGTGGGGTTAAGAATAATATCATAATTAGTATTGATATATTAGTTAGTACACTAATTGGTGCACGTAGCACCACTGTATTTAAAAAGTCATTAATTGTTAATTTTTAGTGATAGTTTGAAAATTTTGTCACAAAAACTGTTACTTGTTATAAATTTTTGAGACAGTTTAATAAAATATCGTCACAAAAAAAAATTCACTAAGTTATAATTTTCAGCGATAGTTTGAAAAATTTGTCACAAAAAAAGTCACTAATTGTAAATTTTAGCAATAATTTATAAAAATCGTGACAAAAAAAATTAACTAATTATCAATTTTTAGCAACATATGAAAAAAATCATCACAAAAAAAATTATTTTTGAGGACGATTTTATTATAACTTATTTTTAATAGGATTTGATGAGAATTGAGTTTAACTATTAAGATTTATTGATAGTTTATCCTAGATCGCTTAATGGGTAAACTTATTATTTAATAAATTTTATGATAATTAATGGTGTTTTTATCAAATACTATTTAAAAATATTACTAATTGTTAATTTTTAGCAACAATTTAAAAAATCGTCACAAAAAAAAATCACTAATTTTTAACTTTTAGCGATATTTTAAAAATTTTGTCATAAAAAAAATCACTAATTATAAGTTTTAGTGACAATTTGTAAAAACAGTGACAAAAAAATCACTAATTGTCAATTTTTAGTGACATGCAAAAAATAATCACAAAAAATTATTTCTAGCAACAATTTCGTTAGGATTTATTTTCAATAGAGTTTGATGGAAATTAAGTCCAAATATTAAAACTTATTGATAGTTTATCCAAAATACTATTCCTTTTCTCGAATAATCTAATATCGGAAAATTCTATTTTCACACACCTATTTATCTTGGTGCATATACTTAATAAAATTTTATTTTAGTGACAATTATATCTTAAAATAAAATGATCCTAATAGGCATCAAAACTCCAATCAACTCATCCTATCTCATCTCTCCTCTCTCCCTCTCTCTATTTACTCTCTCTCTCTCTCTTTTCTCTCTCTCTCTCTCTCTCTCTCTCTCTCTATTTACCACCACCAACAACAAACAAACCTACTGTTCTAAAAAAAAACAACAACAAACAAACTCACAAATCCTTTGAATTCTTACGATTAGCCTTTTGGTTGTATTATCATAATTTGGAGTTTTACATCTAGTTTTTTATGGGTTTTTCTTAGATTTTGATTTGAAAAACAAGAGTTGGAACATCCCTAGAATTTGGCATGCCAAAATAAATAAATAAATAAAATTGTTGTTGATTCCTGGGGAAGTTGGTGAAAATGGAAGAGCAAGTAATTTTTGGTGTGAATTCATCTAGGGGTGGGCGCGGGTTGGTTGCGGCCACGGAACCTCCAATCCGCCATCCGTCCGCCAGATTGGTGGATTGAAGAAAATCAATCCGCATCCGTCCGTCAATCCGACGGATGTGGATTGAGCGGATTAGCGGTTTGGCGGATGGATGCGAATCGGTTTGGCGGTTTAAAATTTTATAAATTTTCAACATAATTCAACTTGTGCACTTCCTCAAAAAAAGAAGAAGAAGAAAGTATTACAGTCAATGACTTAAAAAAAATTACAATCACTGTATGTCTCATCCAAAGTAAGAAAGTTTGAAACTTTATAATATCACAATCACTGCATACTTCATCCACATACTACAATCACAGCATACCTCATCCACATAAAGTATTACTAGGGGTGCTCGCGGTTTGGCTGTTCGGTTGCGGCCAAAGGAATCTCAAATCCGCCATCCTTCGGCCAGATAAAGTATTACAATCTGTGATTCTTAAAATATAATAACAATTCAAACCACCAAAACCATAAACAGAGCAGTAGTAGAGATTGAATGTCTCTATATTGTTACATCTACATATGTTTTTGAAAACAAAAACCAACCAGCATATATCATATTTTTTATTTATTATTTTTAGAGTTAGATTTAAAAACTAAAAAATATAGATGAATAATATGTTTATTTTTTTCAATTCAAAAATATATTCAAGTTGAAAACTTTTTTTCAATAGAATATTTAAACTCTTTTTTAATTGAAAACATAAACATAATATTTAAACAAATTGAAAATACAAAGTCTTATAAATTACTAGAGGTGCTCGCAATTTGGCGGTTTGGCGGTTCGGTTGTGGCCAAAAAATCTCAAATCCGCCATCCGTCCGCTAAATTGGCGGATTGGACAAAATCAATCCGCAACCGTCCGCTCGTCATCACGCATCCGTCCAAAATGCGGCGAATCGGTTCGGTTCGGTCGGTTTTGGCGGATCGGTATATCCGCTGCTCACCCCTAAATTCATCTAGGGAAGTGAAATTAGAAGAAGATGAAGAAGATTTCCAGAGCTATTACGAAGATGAAGACGAATTGAAGGCAGGGCGGCCTTGAGATTTGTGAGACCTAAGGCGAATTATGAAAATGGGGTTCCACTAATATATTTTTTTTAATAAAAAATTTATGATTAAAATGATAAGTATTCACAAATTTTTTATTTAAGTATACTTTCACATATAATTATTAAAATTATAAACTAAAATTTACTTTCATATATTAAGTGAAAAATGTTGTATATTGTATGTATGGTTCTGGTTGGGTTGGCCCAAACACTTTATTTGTTTGTTTTTTTTTTTGTTTTTTATATATTTTTATTTTAATAAATATGGGTCAAACCACATAAGGCCTCATTTGGGAACAGGCTAATTTAATAACTTTTTGGCTATTTGGCTAAAATATGAGCTAAAAAAACTAGTATGTTTGGGATGACTTTTTACGAAAAGATACGCAAAAAGTAGAGAGAAAAGAGAATATTTGACTTTTTGGTATGAGTTGTTGGCTTTTTGGCTAATTTAACTTTTTGACTTTTTGGCTAAAAGAGAGGGTTCCCAAACGAGGCCTAAATATGGACTAAATCAAACATGGACCAAAAAAATATTTTGGGACCCTTTAAATTGATCCTAAAAATAAAAAAAAAAAAAGTTGAGCCTATAACAATTTATTAAATTTGGGAATCCTTTTTTTGGGCTAAAATTGTGGGCCTAAGGCACAAGTCTTATTGGCCTTAGGCAAGGGCCGGCCGTGATTGAAGGAGAGGGAAGAAACCGCAAAGGAAGGTTTAGAGAACAATCTTGATGATATTTTAGTGAATATGTTTTTCAAGGGTGTATCAATTGCAGAGGCTGCATATTGTGGTGCTGGGGTCCCTGGGGTTGGTGTAGTTATAGAAAGAATAGCTAATTTTCCTTCTATTCAAGTGCAGAAAAAACCTGATTTCTTTGTTGATGAGTCTGTGTGGGGGTGTTTGGGTGGAAAGTGCGTGTATAATATTTGAGTTAAGAGTTATCATTAGAATATGTGGTGTGTGGAATGAGACAAATAATACTTAATCAAATTTATAAGTGTGCGTACTGAAAAAATGATATGCATCGAGGTAAATCAGTATGTGAAAATATAATTTCCCTCTAATATCCTTGAAAAGTAAACTTTCTTTTCCCCAAAATGCCTACATATTTTTCTTAAATTTCATTACCTTTATAAATAAATTACATCTTATCTAAAAATACTATATAATATGTAAGATATATATAACAATTTAGTGTGCCGTCTTGTACTCATAAGTTTTGGACTCAAATTCAATATCTAGATTTAGAAATGTATACATTTAGGCGCACACTCACTTGATATTCATATTCCGAGTGCATGTAACATAAATCTCTAAAATACTAACAAATGCAATTAATCAAGTTTTCCCCATATTAATTTTGTGAATCTTCTTTTCTTTTCTTTTTTTGTCAATACAGATTCATCCTGTTCTGATTTTGATTGGCCTAATTATTATCGGAGGCGAAGGTAATTAATAATTTATTTATAGTTCCATAGTTGCTACAATTCTTGAACTTGAATTTTTCAGAGTAGTTTTTTTATTCTTTTTTTCTCTTCAAATGCAGCCATTATCAGTTATAAAGCTCTTCCATTGAAGAAACAAGTGAAGAAACTGATCCATCTAGTTCTTCATTCAATTGCACTGATATTGGGGATAGTGGGTGTTTATGCTGCATTCAAATATCATAATGAGAGTGGTATTGCCAATCTCTACAGTTTACATTCCTGGCTTGGTATCGGAATTATTGTTCTCTATGGTGTTCAGGTAATTACTATCCGACCCTAGATTGTCTGTGAAGAAATGGGCCTTTAGAATAACCTAGGATGGCTCTATTGATTGATGGAATTGGAAATTGGCTTTTGACTTGAGTTCTAACTCATACTATGAGTTTATTGGTTTAAAATCATATAATAAGGACAACCCAAATTAATCCTAAGGTGATCAATACACGTTTAAACTATCAAGTAATATTATATGAATAGGGAAAAAAAAAATTATATAGAATAATATGAAAATTTTATATCTATTTATTTTAAACAAAAAAAAACTTATTGTATCTCCACCCAAATCTTCAAAATTTGGTGTGTCAAATTTTTTTTGAAAGCTTGGGTGTCAAATTGACATATGTCAATTTGACATGAAAGTTTTCACCTGATATATCAAATCCATTATTTTATTATTTTTAAAAATAAAACTATTTTATTGAATGGACTTCAAACTTGAGAGCAAGCATGTCAAATTTGACATATTGAGTTTATGCCAAATGCTAACTCAACATTTGACATATTAGATAGACTTCATTTTTCGTGTCAAAATTGAGTTTTTGATGTGGCACATAGGATTTAGCACTTTGGTTGGAGCTCTATAGTATCTTCACGTAAATTGTCAATTTTGAGGTGACACTTTTGATAATAGAATTTGGCGAGTTTTAGAGTATTTCCACCTGAATTGTCAATTTTGAGGTCAAGAATTTGGCGAGTTTTAGAGCATTTCCACTTGAATTGTCAATTTTGAGGTGGCACTTTTGACAATAGAATTTGACATCCAATTGTACTCCGCCTGAATCTTTAAAAGTGGGTTGTCAATTTGGCATATAAAAAATATGTCAAATGTCTTTCTTTTCATTATTTTAATGATAAATTAAAGTTAAAGCAATAAAATAATAAATTTAGCATATCAGAAGGATTTGTTTTTTTTATATATGTCAAATTTATATACCAATTTGACACTTAAAAAAATTGACATACAAATTTTTTAAGGGTTGAATGGAGATGCTCTAAGAGTGATTTTTTTTTTTTTTTTAATTTTAAAAATGTCACTTTTGAATGATTCTGATCAGATTTTCTATAACTTTCTATACACTTTATTTGTAAATTATTTTCCTTGAAGTACCCCCATTTGGATATATCATTTGAGTTACTTAGAAAGCACCAACACTAATAATGTTATGTGAAATATGATTAATGTCATACATGGTGTCATATCATAAATTATTAAAATTTGATAAGCTCTACCTAATCACATTTCAAGAATTTTTTTCTTCTTTTTTTGTTGGAACTTTTGGCTAATTTGTGGAAGAAAAATTGCAGTGGATATATGGATTCATTGTGTTCTTCTACCCTGGTGGAACAGCTTCAGTAAGAAGAGAATCACTACCATGGCATGTGCTATTTGGGCTATTTGTTTACATCTTGGCTATTGGCAATGCTGCTTTGGGGTTTCTTGAGAAGCTGACATTCCTTGAGAGCTCTGGACTTGCCAAATATGGCTCTGAGGCATTCCTTGTCAACTTCACTGCCATTGTGACAATATTGTTTGGTGCCTTTGTGGTGTTGACATCTCTTTCTCAGCCTCCAAATGAAGACAAGTACAGCTATTTTGCATTATAAACTTGTGGTTGCAACTTTATTGAACCATGCTCATGTTTTGTTTATTACATGATTATGTTATCAAAAGTTCTATTCTGAACACCGAAGATTTTCATAGGATGAGATACAAATATGAGACAAAGAATGAGACTCACATGTGGAGTCTAGCATATGCAAGACCTACAATTTATAAGGGTTTTATGGATTAAACTTTTTTTTCCCCCAAAAGTAAATTTTGTTGTAAAAAATATTTGAAGATCAATTTTTGTCATGGCTAAAAAGTCATTCCGAAAAGTTAAAAAATATTTTTTACAAACAATTTTGAAAAGGTCGCTAATAAATATATTTTTAAGAACAAAACAATTTAGTGCAAAAAGTATTTATTTTTTTGACAAAAAAAATTGGTTACAAAATTTTGTAATTCATCACTAATGTTTAATTTTGTACTAAAAATACAACAATAAATTTTTTTGGCAATTAAAATATTTCATTATTAAAAAGTGATTTTATTTCTAAACTTTTTTCTTTAAAATCTTAATTCCTTGTAGTGAACCATTCTTTATCTTATATTTATACCTAATATTGTAAGATTTATCCGTGCTTTCAGACCTACTCTTTATCCCTTGCTCATTTTCATTTTGCACTAACTGATTAGAACTAAATTTATAAAATTCTGTAAAAATTTCGTTACAATAAAAAATAACGGCGGTGCTACATACATTAATTAATGTACACACTAGTATACCAATTAGTGTTATGTCATTATTACTGATTCCACCTATTATACAAATTATAAATATCCAAAACTTAAAAAATTATGACACATCATCTGTTAGTATACTAGTTAATACATTAATTGGTACATATAAAATTATTCAACAAATGATTTTGCTGATTAAATACAAGGGGGATATCAAAGTAATCTATATTAATTTGATTGCTGTAAAACTCTATAATTATAAATACATAAAGCTAGAGGGTGATCATAACAATGGCCAAAGAATAACACAAAAGTAACAGTTTGATTAATCTCTAAGCTTTCTATATGTATAACATATCATCTATCAACTTGTAGATGGTCTCTCTTTAATAATTGTTAATCTTTTTTAGATACTTTCTTCACAGGATGGCAATATCATATAAAACAAAAGTAACAGTTTATTGGTTTCATTATTGTTAATGGCTTCTTGGAATTTGATGGGGTCTTGTTTGGTGGGGACAAAACGACAAGTTGTTACTTATATTTGTTTCACTATTGAATGATTAATGCGCAACCTGCTCATAATCATTGTGGCCAATGCTTGGGTAAAAATTAAATTTAATTTTTACCTTATTTTGAGTTATATTTTTTATTTTTATTTTTTTATATCTTTTTTTTTAAAAAAATTAAAAAATCAACTTTTAACTAATTATTCAAAGCAACTCTTTTAATTAGATATAATTATTAAATTTTTTTATTAATTAGATTTTTTTATTTTATTTATAAATTTTAATTGATAAATTTATTATTATAAATTTATTTATTAATGTGTATGTTGATGTCTAACCAAACTACCAAATAAGTACTCAGCTGGAGAACACCGACAGAATAGATTGCGCCCGAACAACTTGTCACAGAAAAGATAAGACTCTGGCGGTGGTTCGTCCACCCAGGGGCATTCTGACAATCAAGTCAGTACTCAATTATCTCTCAAAGATAGCAAATAGTGCTTAATTCACTAACTAGAATACCAAAAGTATACCTTAGACCCACGAGGGTGCTCCACTTTTATAGTCAACACTAACCTGATCTCTATAGAAACCTAGCTTCTCTTCGACTCTGGTTCAATGCTCATCCTAAACTCTCCAATAGATAAGGATAAACTTCCTAGGAGCTTTATCCTTATCCAGGCTGAGGTCCTTCCCCATTCTAGGACTCTTATAGCTTATCCGTTCATCCCAAACTCCGGTATTTCCGCAGATAACCTTACACCATTAGGAT